CTCCGCGCGCACCCGCCGCCTTCGAGCCCCGGCTTGTCTCCCCCTAGCGGACGCTCCGCCTTGAAGAACAAAGTTAAACCCCCCGCTTCGGAGCGTGCGGGAGGAGGCTCGTCATTATCGGCTCCGAACAAGGTCGCGCCTGCTTTCATCCTGCACGGCATCGGGCAGGGGCAGCTTCGGTCCCCAAGTGTGAACTTCTTATGCAGGCAGGCAGCTCGGAATTCAAGGGAGGGTGCCCCCGCAGTACCAGTCCCCATATGCCACTGATATTCAGTCTCCATGAATTCTATGGGTCTTCGTCTCCAGCAAACATGCATGGGATGCCAGAACACTACTATAGCAGTGTTCCCTCTAAGCTGAGTTAGTGTGAGCTAGTTCACAGTTTTTTAGCTTCCGGCTCACACATCTTTGTCTTAGCTCAGAAAGGATGGCTTCAGAGCAAACTAATTTGTGCAGCAGCCAAATCGCTCGCTCACGACTTTAATGCCAGCAGCTCACAAAGTAGAATTTTTGCTCACAAGACTCCACAGTTTACAGATTTATTGGTTGTAAGATTTTCAAAAAAAAGGATTCCAGGACAGACATGTTGCAATCATATTGTACGCTCCCCACTGAGTGGAGCAGGAGTTATTTAAGAAAACATTATAAGGCACCTGACAATGGCAGATAGGGTTGCCAATTCCAGGTTCTCAAGTTCCTGGAGATTGGGGGGGGGGGGAAGAGACCTCAAGCCAACTGAGTAGTAATCTCTTGTCATCTGAGATCAGTTGTAACTCTAGGATATCTCCAGGCCTTGCCTGGAGGTTGGCAGTCCTAATGGCATGCCATCAAGGGCTCATTTGCTTGTACATTGTATGAAGTGTGCCATTGTGTGCCAGTAATGCTCTCCTGTCATTTTGCAGTCACCAAACCAAACTGTCTCTAGTACACAAGGGGCGAAATGTAGACCTTAGAAATGGAAACCATCAGCCTCTGAATCCCTCTAGGTCCTGTTGTTGGCCCTCCAGAGGAACCGGTTGGACGCTGTGTGAGACAGGATGCTGGGCTAGATGGGCTACAAGTCTTATACAGCAGGGCTCTTCTTACGTTCTTACAAACTAGGATTCATATAAAGAACTGACACAATTAGATTTCTCAATAGGAACTGGGAGTGGTCAGCTTGCTCAAAATCATGCTTTAGGGGGCTGTGTGCATGGATTATTCCTCTCGCTTGGTCACTTTGCCATCAGTCAAGAGTGATCCACTCCATTTTTAAAGATGCTTGCACTCTGTGGACTTCGTTCAGGCTCTGCGTCATCAAGTAACACAACTAGTTTTCAACATTATTTTGGTACATCTTGCTGTTTGTATGTTAATACTGTTGTATCACCTTTATATTGCCTTTTATTGTCATATTATAACATTTTCAATAAAAATTAATTTTTAAAAAAGTAACACACCTATCCCTGGGCCTTCTGGTCCCACGGAGACGTATGGTGCTCCCCTTCACCCCTTTAACTATGCTCCTATTTCTTCTGACAGAGGGATACCTTTCACGTGTTAAGTGTGCCCTGGCTATGCAATAAGAATTTTGCTAGGTTTTAAATTGCCACTGTAGTCTATGCGCAGCTTTTAGAAGAAGAAAAAGAGATTGGATTTATACCCCGCCCTTCACTACCCAAGGAGTCCCAGAGCGGCTTACAAGCTCCTTTCCCTTCCCCTCCCCACAACAGACACCCTGTGAGGTCGGTGGGGCTGAGAGAGCTCTGACAGAAACTTCTTCAAGAACAGGTCTTATCAGAACTACGGCTTGCCCAAGGTCATCCAGCCAGGTGCAAGTGGAGGAGTGGGGGAATCAAACCCGGTTCTCCCAGATTAGAGTCTGCGCACTTGACCACTACACCAAACTGGCTTTAAAGATTGAATACTGTGACCCTTCTGGAATGCAGTCTGTTGTATTAAAAAAAAAACCCAAAACAAAAAAGATTAAATAATGGGTGGCTCTCACTCAGTTCTAAAAGGCCACTGTCTCTTCTTGGGTTATATGCTGCATTCATGCTGGGCTCCCCTGCAGTGGCTGAGGTTCTTCCCACTTTGATGCTTCAACTGGATTGTGCATGGCATGAAAATTTAGCATGCCAACTCTGACAGCATGCCAGTGAACACACATGCCATGGAACACACAGGGATGGGGTTGCATTATCCTGCACCGTCCAATACTTATTAAATGCTTAGCCTGCATGTTCAAAGCCACTAACAACAAAAAAATATCCAAAGTTGTATGAAGGGATTTCATGAAGTCTGTGCAAACTAGCAAGTTGAGAGTGCACTGCTCCCTTCCCTCTGCTGCTAGACGGGGATGAGTTGTGTTGCCAGAGATGGGACACCCTATTCTGGGCTTCTCCCTCTGCAGATGGAGACCCCCCTTCCTCTTCCACTGGTAGCTGGCCTTCCAGAAAGGGCTCTGTTTCACATATCTGATGGTGCAGGCCATTGCCCAGAAACTCTTGTTTTAATATTGACAATTTCATAGTTATTGTTTATTTCTACTTTGTCAGCCCACCTCAAGCCGTTCTCTGGAGAGACACCAGGTACACTTCCCAAATAAATAAACCAGCTATACCAGGGGGCTCCAATGCAGTGCCTGTGGGTGCCACGGTACCCACTGACCTTTTTCCTGGTACCCACCAAGTGTTTTTATAAAGTGGGTAGGGCCAGGCGGGGGCTCTTGACCAGCTGGGCTTCTGATTGGCTGTGCAGTTTTATTCTCTCTCACTCCCCCTTCTTTCCCAGTATATTTCTCCCCTGTGTTTTGGCTTCTGCATGTGTGTGGCTCCACCTGTGTGTTAGCCATTTTGTGGTTGGCCCCACCCCTGAGGCTCAAAGGTGCCCACAGGCTGAACAAGCTTCGGACCTCTGAGCTACACACACAAACACAGCATCTGTTCCTTTAGTGAGTCTATTGCAGGGAGAGCCGGGGGAGGGGGTCGTGTTGATTGACTAGTCATTATAGGAATAGTAAAGGCCCTACTAAGATTGCCAGCTCTGAGTTGGGAAATTCCTGGAGATTTAGTGGTACAGCCAAGGGAGGGCGGGGTTTGGGGAGAGGAGGGACCTCAGCAGGGTAGAAGGTCATACAGCACACCCTCCAAAGCTGTCATTCGCTGGTTCTGCCTTGGCTTCTCCTTCCGTTGTTTTACGAAACCCACAGTTGGAACAGAAATTCCCCTCTGCATTGCATGCTGCTTTCACTCCCTTTGATTATCAGGATTTATGGTAGCTTCCACACTCCGTGCCACTTTCGAGTTCTTTGATTGTTGGATTTAATTGTACCTTCTGCATAGATTTATGCCCATTCAGGGCAGTCAGTGAGGCATTGCCCTGAGGTGTTTGGATGTCGTTCTGAGCTGCACTTTTCCCTCCCAGTTGAGAAAATGTGGAGCAAATGCCAGATGCAGAATTGCCCATTCTCTCCAGAGGAAGTGATCTCTGTAGCCTGGTGATCAGATGTAATTCAGGGACATCTCCAGGCCCCACCTGGAGGTTGGCAACCCTAGGTGCTACACTGGTCTTTCTTTCTCTCTCTCTCTCTCTCTCTCACACACACACACACACACACACACACACACACACACACACACACACACACCACTGCTACAGTCAAAGGTGCAAGATCCCTGTATCCTGACTGAATTTTGATAGGGTTTTTTGTTTTAACAGATATTAGTTAAATGTCTATAGCTGCTCATTACCCATGAGACGAATCAGCCTCAGAGAGGCATGTTTGTGTAACTTTTAGGAAGCTCTCATGCCTGTGGTTCAGGACTGTCCTGGCCCAGGGTGGGGCAATCCTTCCATGGTTCTTACAAGCAGGGGTCATTTCATAGAAAAAGAAGTGCAGGAGCTCATTAGCATAATTGATTTGCATATGCCACACCCCGTGACATCACCGGAAGTGTGTCAGAAGGCAACATCCATCGCTCAGGCTCCACTGGACTGTTTTGGAGGGCTAGCTATTGGGGGCGGGGTGCAGATCTGTCCTCGCAGAGGAGGGAGAGCTTGTACCTGAATAAAACTTGGTCTTAAAGGTGCCACTGGACTGTTTTGGACTGGGGGGGAGGGGCTCTGCAGCTTACCTGGCTGCTTCTTGCTCTGACTGAGGGCTTCTGGGAGCAGGGGGTGGGTCTTGTTGCATGTGCCCGCCCCCTGGGCTCTTTACTGCTGGAGCTCTGCTCCTGTGCGCTCCTGCAGGAAATGACCCCTGCTTACACGACCTCAAGAAGCTTGGTAGAGGGGGCTGGCTGTGCATCTTTGTGATACTGCACAATTGTACGATACACTGTGAGAGTGCAGCATTCAATTGGTTGATTCATCAACTGGAGTTCTAGTAGATTAAATAGCAAAGTGACTTTGGTTCTCTTGCATCACCACAGGAGAGAATGAAACAGAAAACAAAACAGTCCGGCCTTTACTTCTAACAGTAGTTGCCTTTGTTCTTCTTACATCATCTTGTGCTTCCTTCAGCAGTGCCTCTTTAAAAGGAACCTGCGTTGAGTTTCTGGTAAAATGCAAATTTATTCAAATTTAATGAACAATTAATCCATCAAGGAGGCAGATAATTAATCAACTAAAAATGTTAATCAGTTGACAGCCCTACGAAAATTCTCATTATTAAATTTTTTCTGGAATTTAAATAGGCTAGGATACAAAGGTGGGGGGTACCTTCTTGGTTTTGTTCCCTCTGACAAGTAATTTGCTGCTAAATTAACTGCCACACCCCCTTTCTCATGACAGTATGCAAGATTATTAAATGCCCAGAAGAGATATTCTCTGGGAGAAAAAATAGCTATTTTAAGCACCATCCTATACACACTGTATCAGGAAACCCCACTGAACTCAAAGGTTTTTAGTTTCAAATATACACACAGAAGGATTTGCAATT